CCTTGAGGAACTTCATAGTCTCATGCCAGTCGACCTCGGCCTGGAACTCAATCGCCGACGGCACACCTTGAGTGCGGCAGAAAGGGAAGATGGTCGACTTGAGGGAGCTGTTCTCACTGATTTTCGTCGTCGTCGTGAGACCGACGCGATGGGCCTTTTGTTCTGTGATGCTCGTCTCACCGCAGGGCAGCTCCTGGCGCGTGTCGAGGTGGAAAACCTCGACATCCCAAGCCTGCCAGTACAGGGGCTTGTCATCGAAAATGACATACTGGTTGGCCTTGCCGCCCTTCTCGACGACCTCGCGCTTGGCGACACGGTCGTAGATGGAGACGATACAGCCATGCTCGACTTGGATGCGGAGGTGGTCATTTTGCAGAACAAAAACATCCTTGTCAACCTGCTCAATCGTGACTGCCGGTTCCTCACCGCTCTTGAAAGCACGAAGTGCGAGCATCTGGCCATCGCCACAGGCGACGCCAACCTCTGTCTCTGATATCTCAACGAGCTCCTTGCGGTGCCAGGGCAGCGTGTTGATGGCGACCGACTGTGCGAGGGGCGCCTTGGCACCGGAAACGCCCAGGACCTTGTGCACATCCTTGAGCAACTGCTCATTGAGTTCAAAGACACGCGCGTACATCTGAGGCTTGCTGTTAGAACAAGAAGCAACCCATGGTAGACGGAGAGAACATACCTTGTCGGAGTCATCGTAGCACATCTCAATTGAGCTGCCGGGAAGACAGTCGTGGAACTGACAGAGCAGAATGGCCTCCCACATCTCATCAATGGCAGCCTTGGGATACTTGTATGAGCTGTCCTTCAGGGATGCTATGGTGGCGAGCCACTCAATATTGCGCATGATGACTTCAGACTTGCGATTCTTCGCCTTGTTGTTGGCCTGAGTGGTATAGGTACCGCGGTGGAGTTCAAAGTACAGTTCTCCGTACCATGTGACGAACGAGGTGGCCTTCTTCTGCAGCTTGTCGAAGAAGTCCTCGACGCTGTTGCCCATGTGCACCCTAGGCAGCATGCCAACCTGGTCAGCCATGCCGCGGCAGCGACGAAGCTTCTCGAGTTGGGTCCAGGTCGGGCCACCACCGCCGTCTCCCTTGCCAAAGACGAGCAGCGAGGTGTGGTCCTGGTCCATGGACTTGTGCTGCGAGACACTGCGCTTCACGTCGCCCAAGTGCGCCTCGGCGGTGTATGTCTCGGCCGGAGGCATGTGGCAGATGACTTGGCTCCCATCCAGGGCGACCCAGTTGAAGGTTGTGTGCGGGAACTTGTTGATGTTGTTCCAGCTCAGTTTCTGGGTCAGGAAGCGCTCCATGCCGGCGAGGCGGCAGAGTTGGGGAAGCTGTGCTGAGTAGCCAAAGGTGTCGGGGAGCCAGAACGTCTGGCAGCGCTCGCCAAAGTTGTTCTCGAAGAAGCGTTGGCCGTAGAGGAACTGGCGAACGAGAGATTCTCCGCTGGGCATGTTGGTGTCGTGCTCGACCCAGCTGCCGCCGATGGGCTGGAACTGGCCGGATTTGACCTTGCTCTTGACACGGTCCCAGGCGTAGGGGTAGAGAGTCTTGAGCCACTTGTACTGCTGAGCCTGGGAGCAGGCAAAGTTCAGCTCGGGATACTGGTCCATGAGCGTGCACTGGTTGGACCAGGAGCGGGCGACTTTGCGCTTGGTCTCGTCCCAGGGCCAGAGCCAGCAGCTGTCAATGTGGCAGTGACCGATGCCGTAGACCTGGATGTCCTTGTCGGAGCTGTAGACCTCGTGCGAGTCGACCTTGTCGCCGAGGTACTGGCGCGCAATCTCACGGCACTTTTTGAGCGTGTCCCTGTTCTTCGGGCCCTTATCAAAGGTGTCTATGATGGCATTGGCAACGTTGAGTGCCCTGTGCTGTTCCCAGCTCTCTTCGGGAAACTCGCGGGCTGCATCGCCAATGATCCAGATGTCAATGTGCAACATACGAGCGTCGAGGTTGACGGCGACAATCTCGGCTTTCTTCAAGACAAACTGCTTGTCAGGGTTGGGAGGCTGAATGGTGTCGCCGCGGGGGTTGCCAAACATGCCATTGCAGGCCATCTCGACGTAGATGATATGTTCCTTGCCGTCGCGGAAGGCATCGGGAATGATCCACTCGATACGCTCGCCATCACCCGTCAGGCCTTGCTGGATGTTGCCATCCTTGTCGTACACGGCGCCCTCGTTGGACCCATCCCAGTGCAGCTCAAGCCGCTCCTTGTCCAGCATGTTCTCGGGCACGGTGAGCTGGACCTTGAACCAGTGTGTCGACCATGAAGGCCCGAACGACTCGCCGACTTTGGTCTTGGTGAACTTGTTCTTGACAGCGTCCCGCCAAGGGGTGCGCTCGAGGTCGGGGGCGGCCCATGTCGAGAGCTTGACGCTGGGCTCACCAGAGGCGACGGCCTCGTTCATGAGTGACAAGAGGTTCTGCTTCTCATACTGACCGGTGGAGTAGAAGACCTTAATTCTGTCCTTGTAGATCTTGGATATGTGCTGGCCGACGGGGCGCTGGGCGAGGGTGGGGTAAGAGCTCTTGCTCTTGACCTGACGTCCGCCACCCATAGTGATGTGATCAGATTCGGGGGGTGCGGAGCGATTATTGATGTTTCGATGACGATGAAGAGCAGCGACGGATAGGCTGCCAATGGTTGGCAACGAGGCGGCAGAGGTGGTGTTGTTATCGTTGGACTGGGTTGTGCTTTGCGAGGCCAGACCTGTGGTCTCGTCGGGGACTTTGGCGCTGTAAAACAGAAGACAAGCGTCAGTTCAGAAACTCCCGATAAGTAGTCTGGCAGGAAGCGATCGGAGATGGATTGAGAACGACGGGTTGCGGAGATAGGTTCAGGGTCAAGTCAAGTGAGCCGACGAAGACAAAGCCACCCGATCAGACTCGAAGCTCTAAACGGCAACGGCCCACTCCACCACCGCTTCAGAGCTCCTGAGCTCCTGAGGGGCCTCGTCCACGCCCCTGCGTCACCTGTGCTGATCAGAGGAGTATCACTACCCCTCACCCCGTCGCCAGAGCGCTAAACGACAAGGTACAGGTACGGCTCTTGGGCGGAGAAGGGAGGATTGTAGAGGGGCGGTGGGGCTAGGGGGGCTCAGAGTGCGGGGGAGACGTGGTTGGTGTGGAGACGCTCGCATCCTCGGAGACAGCGGCAGCTTCGTGATGCTCCGCCGAGTGTGTTGGCATGGCAGATGGGCACAGGCGAACAACATACCTCATGCTGAACTGCTTTTGACGATATCTTCAAGAATGCGCCGGAATGCGCCAGAATGCGCCAGCATGCGCCTGTCTTGTTTGGTGTTGAATGGAAACTTGACAAGAATCCCAGGCTTGTCGCCGGGCTTGGAAGAAGCGGTGACCAGGCGGGGATCTAAATGTAATAGGTTGGGCGAACGATGATCAGCCCAGTAGAGTTGGCTCTTGTTCAAAAAGGCCTGGCCTCCACCGCTGGATCCCTGAAAGAGGGTGTCTGACTTTGAAGCACAGGATGTAAGGAAACGATAGTATTGGCCGATGAAGACGCCCACTAGATGGGGGATGATTCCAAAGAACAGTGGTGCGATGGTAACGGGTTGGATGGGCGAGGAGAGGAAGTCAAAGAGGGCTCTTTGGGGGTATTTCAAAGGTTGAGAGATGCTTATGAGGGAGAAAGAAATGCTGAGCCGTCCGCATCGACCAGTAGCTGAAGAAGACATGTCAATGATACCGCACCAAGGCAGGAGAAAGCCAGAGGCATACTTGAGCCTGCCATTCGGCGGAAGCTCCGCTGCAGCTGCTTCACAAGTCCTCATACATAGGACGCATCTTCTTCGCTGAGCTCGACGACCGATGTGATGCCCAGGGGGGCTCGATCGTTTGGTACTATCGAGTTTAATCATGAAGTTCACCCACTGATTGCTTGCTCAGAGCCGACTCTTCACCTGAGGAAGTTCACAAGAAAAAGCGTAGTTAAGCGTATCCAGCGACAGACAACAAAAGGTGTGTATCCAACAAGGAACGAACATATGCAAGCTAGAGCAAGCGGCTGGTCGATGGGATGGTGCCATTTTGCGTGCAGGTACAACTGATGTGCTGTGGAAAGCAGACGCCACGTCCGGCTGCTCCCGGCATCTGATCTCCTGCATGCGAATCGCTCTCTCCCTCTCTCCTCACCGATGTGTGCGGCTGCTCCGGCTCACTGATGCCTCTCGCCTAGCCCTGCCATACATACCTCTAGGTACCTTGGGGTTGAGCTGCACCTTCCGTGGCAGCATCGACAAGGCATGTATCGCCACGAAGCGCTGACTTTGGTAGCTAGTCCAGGGCAGGCCAAGATGGTGGCCTGGGAAAGAGTCATTCGATCACGATTGGCCTGCCATAGAAGATGCCGAAGAATGGCGAAGACCACAAGTCAAGCCGGGCAACGGAGTATCAAACAGGAAAAGGGGTATGTTCATTCACTTCCATTAACACCGTAATCAATCATGACCAGTCATCCTCAAAACCAAACCCATGCGCCGTTGATGCTCCGTTGCCCTTTCTCCTCAGTGTTAAGGACATCATCCTGTGTGTACCGTTCTATCAAGAAGATGAGCTGCTCCTCCCGTTGGTGCCGCTGCCACCTCCCGTCGCGGCTGTCGTGTCATGCTGCACATCCTGCGATCCCGACCCCTGGCCCGAGCCATCGATCACATCATCGTTCTCGAGCAGCTCCTCGTCTTCGTATTCATCGTCGTCGTAGTCCAGCTCCTCGTCGTCCTCCTCGATTTCTTCGAACGAGGGCGCACTACGACGCACTCTGTCGTCGGCGTCACCGTCGCTGTCGCTGTCGCTGTCACTCATGTCAAACGACATGAGGCCGAGCATGGGCACATCGACCTTTCGATACTGGCTCCTGATCAGCCGGTCCGCCGTCTCGAAGAGCTTCGCATCTTGATCGGAGGCCAACTCGCGATCTAAGGAGAAAGAAGCCTCCTCCTGATCGGCCAGATCGTCCCGCGACTGTTCCTGGGGTGCCACGACATTTTCCGGCACCTGCGTCACCCAGCGCCGGACATGCTCGCCCTTTGTAACACGAGACCGTGATTCGCGGGCGCGCAGACCGGCACGGAAGGAGCGCTTCTGACGGCGGCGCCGTCGCTGGATGCGGTCTCGGACGTACCATGCGACAACCAGCATCGCGGCCTGCATGGTGTCCTGACACTTTTGGCGGTGCATATTGGCCCATGCTTGACACCGCTGCTGCTGTGCGTTCGAGATGGCCTGGCACCTCTGCTGGTAGTATGCTGCGATGCGCGAGACCATGTCGATGTAGCGAGGATCCATAGGTTGGCCGGAGACCGGGTTCAACAGGTGCGCGGTGGCGGCGCCGGCAGTCGGCTTTGTGCTGCCGTGCTGGGATGCCATCGTCGAAGGCGGCGTCTCCGTCCTCGCTGGTGTGGGGATGGAACATGTTCTGGGGGCAGCCGTCTTGGCATCGTTGAGGAGTGCCTGGATCTCCGGCTGTGCCTTCCGTTTGAGATGCGCGTTTGAGAATGTGATGTGTGGTTGCTGAAAGGAAGTCTGCTCAGGGGGTGGGGTGACGGGAATCAGGGGGTTGCTCTGTACGGGTCTACGAGCCGCCATCATGTTGTGTAATTCAGTGGGTGGGTGGCCTTCTTGGACTGACACCTCGATGTTCAGAACTGCCAAGGATGGCGGGTACGAAATCTTTGCGTTCGTACGGACTCTGTGACTTCGGGCAATATGTTCCGTTGCGTTGCTTTTTGCTGTTTCTACTGCAGTGATGTAGGTTGCAGTACTGTAGTCGTGTGGTGTGTTGCAGTGTTGCGTGCGGTGAATTGGGGCTGCGGGGCGGAGGGGGAAAGCAGCAGCAGCTGGTGGCGAAGATTTTGCGGGCTATGTCTTTTGTAAACCGGAAAAGGGGAGAGAGGCGGCGGGCCCAGGGGCAGCGGCCGACAGACGCAGCACGTAGCCAACGGACGATTTGAAATGGAAAGGGGTGACATGGTGGTGACAGGTGGGTAAGCATCCCGTACGTTTCCCTTGGGGCTCTGGGGCCAAGGGTCGATGAGGGTCTGGCGATTCGGGTGCGGAGCGACGACGGAATCGTTGCAGAATGGGCTGACGCGAGCGCAGAATCGGCCGATGCCGAGGGCCACTGTGTGCCACTCTTCGCTCACTCTGACCTCTTCAAGCCCGCAGAGCCCGCCCTTTTCGCCCAAGGCGTCCGCATTCTCTGCTGATACCAGTTGCCACCGTGTTGCCCCCTGTTGTCTGCGATCTGGCCAGCTGGCAGTCCAGTCCGTTGTTGTCGGCGGTCCATCGTCAAAGTGGTCACACTCGAGGGGAGATCCTGGGTTTGTGGGCAGCTGCACTAACGGATGGAACGACGGCAATGGTCTCGCATTTGGGATGGTATTGACGGCATGAGGAGAGCCTTGTACGACACGCATTGTAGTTTGAAGATGCAGGTGATGTCGGAACACAGCTGGTGGTGCATGAACAGGCGAACGTTGTTTGTTGGGTCCATGATGCAGGATTCTTTCTCGGGGCTTTCTGTGGTGTAGAGAGGAGAGGAAAAGAGAGAGAGAGAGAGAGGGCAAGCCAACACCCGGCTGGCAGCATTCGGTGGTCTGTCTGCTCGATGTCGCCAACCGCGCACCACTCTCGCACTTCTGGGATGCGAACCAGCATGTTTGACGCGTCTTGGCTCGCTGATCGATCGTGAACAGATCATGATGATCTTCAGCTGACAGCTGACGGCGAAGCAACGTCGTACACGGAAACAAGACGAGAACTTGTCGGGCCATCAGCTTATCAGCTTGCCTGCCGGGGGCGTCCCCTCGCACTGACAAGCTTTGCATCTTCCGCCGGCATCATCTGGTTTCCGAAACGGTCTTTTTGCTTTCTGCTGCCATTGGGAGCAACGGCCTTTCGTCATGGGCGCATGACTGCTCGTTCCAATCTCGTGGTCCTGAGTCGATTATGAGGAAAGACGCAGGGGCCTCGGAACCTACAGGGCCGTTCTGGGCTCCGCTGCTGGGTGCCTGATGGGGTTGTCCACGCACTGTCCTAATGCACCGTGTAGTCCGCTGTAGAGAGCAGCCAGAAGATGCTGGGGTGCACAAAACCCGGGGGCTCAGTGGCCATAAATACAGTATTCTAGTCTTCGAGCACAGTACATTACTCATCTGGTTCACAATCTCAACATGCAACAGGCCCTTGCTCGTCTCTATCAATAGTAGATGAGTTTGCATCAACTTCCATTTCCATCTCCTCGCTGACGAGCCGAAGCACGCGCCAACAGCGTGGACCACACCACCCCATCGACCATATACCTTTCCTTCCAATTCATGCCATTCATGGTGTCTCTTCATGTTGGCTCGACCTCTCACCACCCTCACCCAGTGTGATGCATTGGTGCCCCTTTTCACCCCGAGATTGCTTTCCGCATCGCTCCACCATGGCCGCTGTGCACCGGCATATACCATGGGCCGGCGCGTGTCTGGTTGGCACCTTCAGATGACGACACGGGGAAAGAAGACCAAGACGACCGTGAGACTCGAAGACCTTCCGCAAGGCGTCATCTCGTTCGAGCCCCCACCATTAGTTTCCACTAATGGGCCAGCACAACAGCAGGCTGCTGCTGAAGCGGCCCCTGACAGTGACGATGGCCCGGCCTATCCCACCGTTTTGCTACAAGCGCGGCGCAACATGCAAAGGTTTGACAACTGCGTCCTGCTGACGCGGGTTGGCGGCTTCTACGAGCTCTACTTTGAGCACGCTGACGAGTACGGGCCCCTCCTCAACCTCAAGGTGGCCCAGAAGAAGACGACGGCCGGCCCCGTGTCCATGGCCGGCTTCCCCTTCTTCCAGCTGGAACGCTTCCTCAAGATTCTCGTCCAGGACCTGAATCGCTACGTCGCCGTGGCCGAGGAGTTTCCGAAGAATGCAGCGGATAAGATCAAGTCTGGTGGCCTGATGCATGACCGGCGCGTGGCCCGCATCATTACACCCGGCACGCTAATCGACGAGAACTTCATGGACCCATATGTCAACAATTATGTGCTTGCCATACATGCGCCTTCGCCTTGTGGAACTGCAACTGTTCAAGCGAGCAGCGTTACCGCTGGACGTGATGCCCTTGGTGCTAGCCCGCCGTCGACTTGTCTGGGACTCGCGTGGCTGGATTTGTCCACCGGCCAGTTCTTCACCGAGGCGGCCAATATGTCGGCTCTTCCATCTGTTCTTTCACGCATATCACCAAAAGAAGTGGTCCTCGATCAAGCACTCCAGTCATCCAAAGACCATGATGTTGTCTCCATCCTCGCCGAAGATCGGCATCTGATCACCTATCATCCGCCAGGGGAGGCGACAGGCCTCGCTGACTGGGCGCCTATGCTCGAGTCGGAGGTGCCAGAAGACAGGAGAGCTGCCTTCACGAGCGAGGAAGTCACAGCGGGCAGCCTTTTGCTTAATTACGTCGGCGAGCGCCTTCAGGGACTGAGTCTGAAGTTACAGCCACCGGTGCGCCATGGGACGATGAGTGTCATGAGCATTGACAAGAACACAATGCGCGCCCTCGAGATCAAACAGACCATCCGGGATGGGTATTTCCGCGGTAGCCTCCTCCATGCCATCAGGCGCACCGTTACGAAAAGTGGTGCTCGACTACTGAATGAGTGGCTCAGCGCGCCGTCCACCTCATTAGAAGTCATCGAGGCGAGGCTGGATCTCGTCACATGTTTCATAGAGAAAGCGGACCTTCGTGATACCGTCATCCTCCTGCTTCGCCGCAGTCATGACTCTCAACGTTTGGTCCAGAAATTTGCCCTCGGGCGGGGTGACCCAGATGACCTGCTCGCCCTGGCAAGCACTGTGCAAGCATGCAATGATATCGCGACGAGGCTCAGCAAGGCAGCAAAGACAGGCGCTACTGCCAACTGTCTGGCCGCCGTCATCGCCCGTCTAGACCTCAAGAAACCCACAGAGCTTGCGCGCCGCATTCAGGAGGCTATCGATGAAGAAGGCGTCGTTCACCAGCACGAGATCGAGGATGGCGAAGCTGGTCATATGATGGCCCTTGCTCAGGAGATTGTTCATGCTGAAGGGTCCCAAGACGATGCAGCAGCCGTCATACCCAAAACTACGGTCAAAAAGCCTGGCAAAACACGCCCGACATCGGTTCGCGAGTACTATGCCGACGATAACGAAGCCTGGGTCATGAAACCGTCGGCAAGCCCCCGGCTCGAGCGTCTCCATGCCGAGCTCACCAGTCTCCACGCAG